AGACCAACTTCCTCCTTACTCCAAGGCACACCTCAGGGGAAAGTGCACCTACCTGGTGAGATTCATTGGCTACAGATCAGCAAACATCTGTGGATCCTTTAGGAGGAAAAATCCTAAGTAAACTGCACATTAGGAATATGGAAGAAGTTCTATGGGACCCAGATTTCATGTCAATAGCCCTTTGAATCTCTGGTTCTAAGACCAATGCACCTCACTCCACAGGGAGCTCCTTTCTTTGAGGATGTGTTTCCTCTAACCAGCACGTTTCCTATCACTGTAGAGGAATACTGTCCTTTAAGGCAAAGCACTGCCAAGTTTCCAGCGATGGCACTGTGATCCCAGAAGAAAGGCAGCAAATTGTTTGGGACTCTGATGCAAAAGGCAACTGACCTGTATCCTGCTGGCTCTGGCTGTTGCTAAGCTGTAGTTAAGGCAAGGCGCTTGGGGCTTACTGAGTGACCTAGTTAGGAGCATGTCAGCTTGCATTTTCTGTAGGCATCATACATGAATTCGCTGGTGGTGCATGCGTCAAGCATACACACAAGCTCTGCTTGCCCGACGTAGTCCAACCATTCTGTTTTCTCTAATGGAGTGTAGTGTTATTAAACGCATATGCACATCTAATCATCCTACATGTTCCATCTAATACATCCTTAATATGTGACATTCAGATCAATTCAGAAGATAGAAACTACAACCTTTCTACCAAGAAACATGTGAGATCCTTTTTGCATGAAATATGTATAAGTTTAATCACGTTTATAGCCCAAAGCTTCTGTTTAAAATTATCATTTCAGAACCAAGTACATGTTTTAAAATATGCCATACCAAACTTAATATAATATACTCTAATTTTTCTTAATTTGACAAAAATGGACAGAAGGCAAAATGAAAAAAAAAAATTTATTTCCTCATTGTTTTATCCACTGTCAATACTGTATTTTTGATGCAATATATTTGCCAAAAAATCCTCAGCCTTTATTTTCCATTTTAAACAACTACAATATTTACAAGCAGTTTAGAATAACACTCAGACACACACACACACACACACACACACACACACACACACACACACACACACTCACAGACACGCTAGGTACATAAATCCTTGCCTCTGGCTTGGCCGAGTGCTGGTAGAGGCAGTGAACCCTGTCCTGAGCCATGATCAGAAAGGAAAGCCCCACTCCTTCTCCCCCGGCACTCCTGGGCCCAGACTCAACTTTCTTCCCTGCCCTTGTGCAGTGCTCACTCCACACACGTGGAGGGTAAGGGAATGGTTTTTACAATTCACTTTTGATTAAACTATAAGCATTTAGTAAGTGTGAACAGACATGACCTCCCATTTTTATTATCTTGGCAATGGAATCAGCTTCACATGTAAGAAATCTTGTTCACGCACACGTGCACTGAGCCTGAACCCCCAGAGCAGCCATCACACGTCCCCCGTAGAATCCTCAGGAGTTCACCTGCCACGGTGTTGGGGACCTCCGTCCTAGCCTGGCTCCACCGAACTGCAAGTTGTCAGGTACAGAGCTGGGGCATGGGAAAATGCATATGACCCCATATGACAGGTGTAAGTCATGGAGCAAAGCTGTCATATCACCTGGCGGTGACAGTCAGCTCTGATGCCCCAAAGAGTGGTCACTCCACAAAACAGCAAGTGATGAAGTTCAGCTCACAAACAGAAGCTGTTTAATTCAGAAAGAATATGTGGCTGGTAGGCAATAAAGATAAATTCTCATCACACATAATTCTTGACAGATGACTCTGGTGAGGTGATTAAAAGCAGAAAATAGACTTCTGTTTCAAGCAAACTTAATCCTCCACTAATACCCTGCTAAGGGCTATTTGTATAATTATTAATTCCTTTGTAATCACAATTCTGACCTGAACATTTAGCAAGTCAAAGATGAGAAGGCATATCTCCAGATTTTTTTTTTCAAGAGAAATGAAGAAAAAGGAAGTTGGTTTTTTAAATACTTAACTGAAAAAAGCCAACAGATTCAATTTTGTATCAACATTTATGCAGCCTAAATACATGGCAGTATCTAATTTTTCTCTTTTTCCAGACCAACAAAGTTCAGTATCCATGTAAGACAGAAACAGAAAGATCCAAGTCCAAGAATGAGTTCCATGGATCATCTTAGCCTTGACTGACATACTTTCCTCTTGAAATTAAAGGAAAAGCCTCTAGCATAAAAAGGAATATTACAGACCTCATCTGAACAGTGTGTCATATCAAAGGAAAGAAACAACTGGGTCTGTGTCCAGACAGTCACTTCATGCAATTACATTACACTACAAAAAAGGTTGAGGATCTAAAAACACAACTCAAAAAGGTCTTTGTACATGTTCATAGAAAAGTAATGAAAATAAATACAAATTCAAGAATTCTCACACACAACTACGACTGCCTCCTTCTTGGGCCACATATTTACCCAGAGGAGGGCGCTTGAGAGTCAGTTCTGAGGAGACAGTTTCAGGTGCTAATGAGCTGGTGTTTAACAGACCCAGTTTTAGATGGTGAATGATATCTGCTGTCCAGCTAGGAAGAGCTGCAGCATGGGAAGGCTGCTGCTCACCACAGAGGGAGCTTAAGGCAAAGCCACCTGAATGAGATGGGAAGAAAATAATACAGAAAGAAAAAACACTCAATGAGTGACAGATTCCTACATAAAAACTTACATTTTCACTGACTGACATTTAGTACACAGTAATCTTCCAGATCTTACTCAGGACAGTAAGATTGTCAAACTAATTGTTTCAAAAAACTAAAAGTAGTTCGGATCTACTTGAAATATTTTTCAAAATGCTTCAAATCCTCCAGTAACAGAAACCCAAAGAAAGAATAACACTAAGTTTGTTCACTAATTTCCTAAAAGGTAATTAATCTCCTCTTATCTTAAAAGATATTCACACAGCCTTTACCACCTACTCTCTCAGGTTGCTTAAATATCAACATCTTATGTCACCCTAAATTCTTGGAAAAATTAAAATTAAAATTAAAGTTCTTCAGCAAAAAGTCAACATTTAAAGTTTTATTCAGTGTTGAAAATGGTGTAAAGAGAGAATTCACACCAAGGTATAAGCTTAATTAGAAGTTATGGTTTTTTGCCCCTGAAGGAAAGGAAAAAAAGGCAACTATGTATAGACATTCCAGGACTGCCTTTCTCTCAAAAGGAGGAAAAAAAAATCAAACAAGAAAATGCACGAAGATTTTAATCATACAACTCTAAAGATAATTAATAAAAAGTTAGTATTTTCATGACATCTTTTTGCTTTCAAATCATGGAAGTCAAAGCTTTGGCACTTATGAACTAAAGACACTCGTGTATGCTAGAATTTTGCACATTATTGAAAAAGGTTAAGCAGAAAATCAAAACAGGTAGCTCACTATTCCCTGGGGGTGGGGCAGGAACAAGAATTTATGATCAACTTAATTCATGAAAGTGTGTTTATAATTTCTAATTATAAGCTAGATCAAACTATTCTTAAGAAATAAGTCTTTCTTCAATTATCACAGTTTCCCCTGTTGCAATTATTAGAAAAGCATTATGATTTTTAAAAGACTAAGTTTTAGACTTAAAACATAAGAACAGGGCTTCTCTTAGGGTTTCCAATTCATTAAAGAGTTTTATGATAACAAAATTCAACTTGTTTTGAGAAAAATGTTCACTAATTGCTACCCAAAATCAAAACCTAACATAGATGCTCCATATAAAATCTAATCTTGCATTTTATATGTGACTTTTCATAGTATGTGATATGCTTAACACTTTTTTGAAGGGGGGCTAGGAATAAAAAACATCTAGTGCTTCAGGTTTTTTTTTTTCCCGTGTGGAGAATATGAATGCTCTTCCATCCAAGACTAGAAAGGATCTATGTTCTCTCTTATGCAGGCAGCAGCCGCGGGGGCTCAGATCCACTTCAGAGGGGAAGCCAGCAGCAGGGGACCACAGTTCCTTTGAAAGATTTAAAAACTCTATGTCTATAGATAAACAGATCATAAATGCAGCTTCAGGGGAAAAAACCTCAAACTCAAAAACTACACTACACTTTAACGGCATACTGTAGATATGCCAAACTGAGGCAAATACAGAATATAATAATAGTATCAGAAAAATAGATTTTTAAGTGGTCAATTTAGGAAGGGTACCACTGTATAAAGGTTGGATAAATTATTTCACAAGTATTTTTAATCAGTGAATTTTGCAAAGTGTGACGTCTAGGAACATTTCAACACAAGGCACATTGGATTCTGAATGACCACAGCATTTAAAACTAGAAAAAGGGGAAAAAATAGGCTTTTAAATGGGAATGCATAAGGTCCTGTGTATGAGCTATTTGCTCTTCTTAGTTTTCATTCCTCCTGCAGTGGTATGCTGCTCTGTGAGATCTATGTCAGAGCCGGTAGGAAAAGCAGCTTCTCTCTTCTGTCACCTCATCCAAAGATCCTTTAAACCCGGTGCTGCCCAGGATAGCAGCCACCAGGCACAGCAGCTAAGGAGGACCTGAAATGCGGCCAGCGTCATGTATTGGAATAGCAACACTTTGGATATACTGGATTAAACAAAATGTGTTATTAAATTTCATTTTACCTGATTTTTTAAACTTTCTATTCACAAGGGGTAGAAAGATGGCTGCTCCGACATGCTCAGAGATGTACAATTTTCTTTGGAGTTTCACACCAAAAGGAAACATTTTCTAAGGATTCAAAAAATGCTAAAAAAAGCAAATTAAATCTAAATTGCAGTTCCCATGTAACCCAATTGTAAATCTGAGTAAAATATTTCCCTGAATACACTTTTTTTAAAAACCAATAAAATTTAGGTTATAAGACAACATATGAATTAAGTCAATTTTACAGTTATAAATATCTCAAATTACAGCGACACACTATAAATTACAGGAAATGAAACTCAAGTAATAGAAAAAGAGGTAAATAAAAAGCTAAGTTGTTAAAGAGGGATATAACAACAAGAACTGCACCATCTGGATAATTTTGTTTGAAAAAAGTTTACTTGATTAACTGAATCACATGTGAATAATTCAAGAGCTAGGAACTCATAAAATAAATAAAGGCAAACAATCCTTTCGTTAGATTCCTGGACGTTTATCTTCTTCTTTGAAAAGCAAGAGGGCTTCTTCCCAGAACGGAGCCCGCAGAAGTTGGCCAGGAGGGCAGGGCAACAGGACTCCTCCAAACGTGGACACAGGAGCTGGCAGTGGTGTTCACATGGCTGACACGCTGACTACTGGCTCCAGGAAACGTCAAGCATGAAGCTATGCGGGTCTTGAGACTCCAAGTTCATTTTAAAGAAAATATCCAATGTCCCAGAGTGGAGCGCAGACTAGAAACAAAGAATGAGCAGCAGAGTTCCTGCTACCTATGTTTATAAGGAAGGGACGGGGGTTAATCCCAAAGGCAATTTAAATAATGGTATTTTATTTTTATATATAAATAAATGTTCTGAGAAATCTCAGACTTTAGTGCATTGTCGTAAAAAATTAGTGCAGTTTTTTCATTAAAGTTTTTAGCGCACAAGGAATAAGATAAATCTATGTTCATAGTCTCTTTCACTGTACATTAAACGTTTATACCGCTATATGTCAAACCGAATGTTCTACTGGTTTTTAAAAATCAAGGTAAATGAATTTCATGTTCTATGACAAAACATGGCAATTATTTTTGGCAAAGAAATTAGAAAAATATGAGATCATAGTTTAGAAATGAAGAGTTTGTTGATTTAAAGCGTCAGCAATACAAGGGAAAGACGTTTTTTAAGGATGTATTTTAACAGAACTTTATCCTTCATGCAAAATGTTTTCTTGGCAGCTAACTTAAAAAAATATTTCAGCTTTATCTGGGGGTGGAGACGGTGACAGGAGTCAGATAGGGGCAAAGGAGAGGCGCTTAGCCAAGCTCACTGTGTCCATCTCTCCCACACCGGATCCGAGTGACAACTGCGGCATCTCTTGCTTGCTCCTCTCTCTTTCCAATGTCTTGGAATCGAGAGGAAAGGGAAATGTAGTTATGACACACTGGCTCACACTTCAGCCCCAAGTTCTAGTACCCCGGTTTCAATTACAGTCACGTATTTATCATCAATCTGGACCAGAAGCACTGCCTTGTCAATGTGGGACCTAGTACCTGGATCTCTGCTGCAAGGCACCCATCGGTGAATCACCTGATGATTCAGAAGAAAACAGGAAGTCAGTGCTGGAGACTTGGGACATACTCTCACACACACACACACACACACACACACACACTCGTATCCCACATTTGGGACGGGAGGTGGCAATTCTGTCTGAGAATTAAGTGTATCAATAAGTTAAGACCATGCATGCATGTGAGTCAGACTCCAAAACATCAGAGCACCAGACAGTGAGCTCTGTACAAGAACTTACGTGGCCTTCCATGCCCTCCTGGGGATTCCAGCCTTCCCAGCTGTTTCTCCCAGCTTTTAACCGAATCCCCTCATTGGGCCACTGTAGCTCTTTCCTTTTTGACACGTTGATTCCTTCCAGAATTTGACTGGGATCCACAATCTACATAGAAAGAAAAGATGAATAATTTTCAATTCATTTTTTTCCTGATGATAAAAATTTATATAATCCCAAACAAAATTTCTTTCACACGACTTGTGTCTCTAGTTTTTAAAAATTCCTGTAATGGAAATTTTAAAAATCTCAAGAGGCACCTCCCAAATCTTCTTTAGCCTACTGGTAGACTTCAGTGCAAAGGCTGTGTGACAACGACTGAGCAGGGAAAGAGTATTCCCAGAACAAAAGCAGCTGCTTTCAGGTTTAAAGTGCACAGAGACTTTTTCTTCAACATTCAGAAGTGTTCTTGTCTTTAGCCTAAGTAGGATAAGGTATTTCCGTAGAGTACTCTGTTCAACAGGTAAGGAATAAGGACACATAAGTCACAGAACGTGCGCAGCGGCCTCGGGCTGGCTCACCTGGACTCTGTAGACTACATCCCCCTTCCTGGCATGGGAGCTGCCAGCAGGACTCAGGGCGCTGCCTGGCTGGGCCTCGGTGGCACTGCTTGGACCGCCCTCCGTCCCAAGGAAGCCCACGAGTGTGTGGTGCTTGCAGGCAGGGAGGCTCTGACTAGAGCTGCTGGAGGTGGGGAGGCCATGCACACCAGTCATGCCACCCGGCCCACAGGGCTCCCCCTGGTTCACCATGGACAGGCGGGACTGGATGGACGACGGCAGGTTGCGGAGTGAGATTTGGCTGGTGGAAGAGCGCCGGCAGGGCACAAAGCCTGCGCTGGACATCCTCAGGGATGAGTGCCGGCTGCTGTAGCAATAGGAGGACTGGCTGGCCACCGAGGCACGGGCGGGTGACTGCCTGGCCAGGCTGGACTGCACTGAGTGTGAGCTGCGGCTCATGCCTGGGGAGAGACAGCAGCACTCAGTACTGGGAACAAGGTACACACAGTGCTGGGCCACTCCCAGACTCTCCTGAAGCACTGGCCTGGGGACCTGACAGCTTAATATTCATACCTAACACTTTTAGAGTTGCCAGAGAGAAAGAAATACCTGAGATCTGTTTTCTTATATAGTTTTTATAGTATAATTTTTAGTTGCTAAAATTTTTAATAATTCAAATCCTGGGACATGCAGAATCCATAATGAACTATTCTATAGCAAGCATCAAGACTTAAAGTTGGGATAAATCCTAAGATATCTTTCACAGAAAGATTTCAGAATAACAAGAACCCTTCCTTGATATCTCAAAAATGAAACATCTCACAGAGATGAGATGGTCAGAAAGATTTACCAAAAAATACTGCATTATTCCACTCAGTGGAATATAAGAAAGTCCAACTCATAGAAGCAGAGAGTGGAATGCGGCTGCCAGGGGCTGGGACAGTGGGAGGAGCGAGAAATGCTGACCAAAGAGGGCAAAGTTCCAGCTGGCCAGGAGAAGTTCTGGAGATGTAGTACACAGTACAGTGACTACAGTTGATGATAATGCATTGTACACTTACAAAGTGCTAAGTGGATCTAAGATGTTCTTACCCAAAAAGTGATAAGTACACAAGGGGATGGACATGTGAGATTCATTTAATCATTTCACAATACATTTATACGTCAAAACATGACATTGTATACTATACACACACACACACAGAGTTTATTAAGGTCTTCCTATGTGCAAGTGCTGTAACTACTGTCCTCAAAGTCTAGTATTACACCCTTCCATCCTGTTACATGAGAGGCTACACTGCCTAAAGACAGTGAATGCCACATTGTAACTCTCACACACACTAAAGGATCTTTACTAAATACAAATTATCAGCGCCCCTGAATAGCAAGTTCTTTTGCATCATTTTACAAGAGGTTTGATAGAATTCTTTAGACTTGCCTTTTTCCTAACTCATAAAAGTAATGTCAAGATTAGAAAATAATCATTAATTATACTGATAGTATAGTTACACGTACTCTTTACCTAAAAATAAAAAGAGCTAATCAATGTAAAGGCAAAATACACATTTAAAGAAGGACATTGAAAGTTTTAGATTTTCACTTGGAAATAAAGAACACTCAAATGTTGATTGCACATCTATTTGAATCTTTCATCCAATCCCACTGGGGTGTTTATTTTTAAATTTAAGTAAATGTCTTTTTTTTTTTTTGAGTTGGAATCTCTCTCTGTCGCCCAGGCTGGAGTGCCATGGCACGCTCACAGCCACCCTAGTGTTGACCTGCTGGGCTCTGGTGATCCTTCCGCCTCAGCCTTTCAAGTAGCTGTTATTACAGGAGTGCGCTACTACGCCCAGCTAATTTTTGATTTATTGTAGAGGTGAGGTCTCACCAAGTTGCCTGGGCTGGTCTCAAACCTATGGGCTAAGGCAATCCACTCACCTCGGCCTCCCAAAGTGCTGGGATAACAGGCTGAGCCACTGAGCCTGGCCCAGGTAAATGTCTTAAACTTCATCTGATCCACATGCAGCAGTTGGGGAGAGGACAGTGTTGAGCCAACTGACCAGCCACAGGGCACATGAGACTGAGTTCTACAGCTCTCATGCCAACAGGGATTAGTGAGAGTACACCTTGAGGGCCTGGGAAGGGAATGTTTTCTTCAATAGCATATGAAAAGTACTGATCATTAAAAAAAAGATTAGTAAACTGCCTCCACTAAAACTAAGAACATTCATGGAAGGAAGGGAGCCACTCTTCACAGGAGAATGAAAAGCCAGAGGGCAGGAAGAGAAAAGGCATCCACAGTAGAGAAAGCTGATAAAGAACTCAAACCCAGAAAGTAAAATACAAATGTATACTAAAAAGGCAACAAATAAAAAAACAGCCAGAGACTTAAACAGGCACTTCAGAAAGAAGAGCAGCTGATGAACATGTTAAACACCCCCTCTCAGGTATCAGAACAATGCCAAATGAATGAAAGAACCAGACCTGTGCCACACCAGCAGCCAGGGGGCAGAGGTGGAGCTGGTGATGGTGACACGATGAGAGCTCCAAATGGCAAAAATCACTTTCTGGAAAGAATTTTGGCATTACATATCAAGAGTCTTATTCTCCTAAGCTTTGGTCTGGTGATTCCATTTTTAAAGTCTCCAGCCTAAGAGAATAGTGATTACAAAGATTTATATAAAAAGATTCTTACAACATTATATCTGAGGAAACCAAGTCACTGTCCAACAGGAGAGAAGTTACATTAATTTTGATAAATATCATTAGCTTTTAAAAATTATTTTTTTAAAGTACCCGCCAGGCATGGTGGCTCAGTCTTGTAATCCCACCACTTTGGGAGGCCGAAGTGAGAGGACTGCCTGAGTCCAGGGGTTTGAGACCAGCCTGAGCAACTTGGTAAGATCTCCTCTCTACAATAAAACACACAAAAACTAGCCAGGCATGGTGGCGTGCATCTGCAGTTCCAGCGACTTAGAAGGCTGAGGTTGAAGGATCACCTAAACCCAGCAGGTTGAGGGTCGAGGCTGCAGTGGCCGTGAACGTGCCACTGCATTCCAGCCTGGGCGACAGAATGAGATTCCAACTCAAAAAAAAAAAAAAAGAACCATTAATATCGCAAATGTTTACTTACATCAACTATCAAGTTAAAAAGTATATATAACACATGTACACACACAAATATATAACATGAGCAATATAAACAAATAGGACAATGCATAACCAGAAATCAAAGAAAAGATTCCACATCTGCATTCCCAAGCAGGTCTTATGAACCCTCTGTACATACTTCCTAATTGGCCCAGGGCCAGGAGATCAGCACGACACTCAAAACTCAGTCTCACATTACCTAGTGTGGGAGGACAGGCTGCAACAGGTGGCTGGAGCCCTGTCCCTGGCCCCTGCCCTGGGTTTCCAGTGCTGCCCTGGGATGCGTGGCTGTGCAGATCACTGGCGGGTGCTGCGCTGTTCCCAGGGCAGGAAGTTCCACCTCTAGTATCAGAATCTTCAATGTTGCCACCGCTGTTACAGCCAGCTCCACAGCCTTTCCTGAGCCTGGGAACAAGGACGGAGGGGAAGCATTATCCCAAGACTACTTCAAAACAGGCACTTCTGCTATTGCTGCTACTAATGTTCACCTTAGAAAGTCTTTATTATGCATCAAGTATCAGGAACAGAACAGTTTATTATGTTTCTTAGGTGTTTTTTTTTTAGTTGGAGTCTCACCCTCTCGCCCAGGCTGGAGTGCAGTGGCACGCTTACAACCACTCCAGCATCGACCTGCTGGGCTCTGGTGATCCTTCTGCCTCAAGTAGCCAGAACTACAGGCGTGTGCTATCACACCTGGCTAATTTTTGATTTATTGTAGAGACGAACCCCATCAAGTTGCCCAGGCTGGCCTCGATCCCCTGGACTCAGGCAATCCTCTCGCCTCGGCCTCCCAAAGTACTGGGATTACAGGCTTGAGCCATCGTGTATGGCCTTTATTATGTTTTCAAAAAATGGCTTAAGAATGACATTCTTCTAGTCACTGTCTCAAATCTTTCCAGTCTGCTTTACTTTTCTTTCCTACATCATAACAAAGAACTATATGTAACACAGCAGCACCATAAGGATCATAGCTGGAGACAGAGCTCCTGCTGGTATCTGTCCGGTGACTTGGCAGCACGCGGACCTGAACACCTTGTTTTTTTCCACAGCTACTGAGCATATTGAAGGCACTGCTGCCATGGTGTTTCACATTTTGTTTTGTTTTTAAATGGAGGGTGACCAAGCCAGCCAGGACAGGTGGGCGTGGGCACCCTATTTCTCTCAAGGAGAAAATAATTTTTTTCTTTAAGCAGGTTCCAGCACTGCAGCTACTTTTCTTTTTTTTTTTGAGTTGGAGTCTCACTCTTGTCACCCAGACTGGAGTGCAGTGGCTACTCCCGGTCACCGCAGCCTCGACTTGCTGGGCTCTGGCAATCCTTCCGCCTCAGCCTTCCAAGTAGCCAGAATTACAGGCATGCGCTACCACACCCGGCTGATTTTTTGATTTATTGTAGAGATGAGGTCTTGCTGCCCAGGTGGGTCTCAAACCTGCGGGCTCAGGCAATTCACTCACCTCAGCCTCCCAAAGGCACGGGATTACAAGCTGAGCCACCAAGCCCGGCCGCAGCTACTTTTTGAAAAGAAAATGTCTTTGAACACTTCCTGGCTTATGTTCCTCCTCCTGTGGGGACAGGGAGCAAGCTGGAGAGTTTCTGTTCTAATTGCCAGAGTCCACATTTCTTGGGCCCTGATAGTTAAGGATCTGAACAGTGACTCTAAGAAACTGAAAACATGTTCTGCAATTTTCTTCCCCATTCACCAAACTATAATGCTCCTATGTCAGCATCATAGTCAACTAATTAAAGAACAAAATCACATGACTATTTGAACACATTGTGGTTCTGAGTTTGGGTAACACCTACATCCCCAGCCAGGAGTTCCCGCACACACAGAGCGCCCCCTAGTGCTGGAACACAATGACCAGAGAGAAGGAAAGAACCAACTTGCAGGTTTCTTATGTTTTTCTCTTTATTTATCCTGTTTTCTGGTTCACACGTTCTAATTGTGGCAATATGCAATAGGAAGTAAAAAAAATTAAACACAGAAAAGGAAGTTATTAAAGATTCTACTACATACTAGGGCAATGGTTCTTTACCTGGGCTGCACGTTACACTTATCTAACAATATTTGAAGATAAAAATGCCCAGTGTCCACTTAGAGTACCCAGATACAGGCTAATGCTGTACACCAGCATCTGCATTCTCCCAAGGGCTTCCTGGTTGCACTGGTATTTGCTGCCTAGACAGAAGGGTTGCACACACTCCCACTGAGAAGTACCACCCCATGACTCACCTGTGCCAGGTAGACACCATGAAGTTTCTGATGTTCCCCAAGCTGATAGGTCCCCCAAGAATATCTTTCAGCTGCTCGTGGCTCTCAGAGTAAGAAGTTGTCAGGGGTGAGACAAAGATTGGGTAGCCGATAGGCTGGTCGCAGGAGGAGTTGATCATGTTCCGCAGGGCCTGCTTTGCATTTTGGATGCTGCCCCTCTCTGGGTTACGGTTACGCAAGAAAACGAGCTCCTGCTGCTGCCCTGCCCAGAGACCCCGGACACATTCCTTATTTACCTGAAAGCCAGAACACACAGGGATCAGGTGAAGGGCCAAGATTAGCATTCACAGATAAGCAAAAGTGGGAAGCATACAAAGACATTAGGATGCCAACTGGGAAAAGCAAGGACCAATATAAACAGGCCACACTTCTAAGAGGGCTTTCCTGCTGCTCTGTCTTTAAAAGTATCAAGTAAAATGGAGTCCACTTAATTTTCCAAATTGGCAAAGCACTGAATTTGATAAGACAATAGATATTTTTTATAGAAATGAGAGGTTATAAATATTTCTAATAAGAAAAATTGAGACATTTGGGATTGAGTAAATGAAGCTGATAAAAAATAAATAACTGCAAATTATCTAAATAAAACTTCAGAGATTAAGCCCCCTAAAGACCTGAGATGTTTTTAAAAAATGATAGAAAAGTTAGAGTGAATCATTTAGCTTCTGACCTCTATTAGTTGCAACCTAGGAATTGTATCACATTAGCAATATGGTATTGACTATTTACAAAAAGAGGCTGCCCAAATTGCATGTGTAACCGATATACAACCTGCCACATAATGGATAAACACCTACAAGTTAATAGGGGATATAGGACATATCCTGAGGTAACCATAACACAAATCTGAATTTTTGAAATAGCATGTTATTAAAGAAATGTAAACTTATATTGGCTGCATCATATTTACAGTTGGGAGGCTGACAAATTTTTGAACCCAGGTGAAATGGCTGATTTGTACTCAAGCCAAGTGTATCAAGCAAATATTTTAAGGTTTTATGGCAAGTGGGAAAATTTCAGAGGATGGAATAAATTACTGAAAAAAGTAAGTCAAATCACATGCTCAGGAACAAGACACTCATGTTGTAAAGCTTTTTTTTTCCCCCTGTGGAAAGAATTTCAGTCACTAGGTCTGGGCCAAGTCATCCAACTTCTGCTTTGTATGCATGTGCCCTCAGGCACTCACCTTAATGACCCGGAAGCTCAGGTGGCGCCTGTTGAGCATAATGATCTTGTACTCATTGGTACCATCGTCCATGACGTGCCGCAGTGCGAGTAGTGAGGGTGAGTTGGCCAGGACGGCACTGCGCCATGCAGGGTCCCCCTCGTGGGCAATCACCAGGTTCTTCTCGTGAGACACAATGGCCTCATAGAGTACAGTGGGGTCATCATATTCATCTGGAGAAGTAAAATGATCCTAGACACAGAAAACAGGTGGGTTTTAGGAAGAGAATGACTTCAAGAATGATGATAACTTCTAGAGTTACTAAGTGAACATTCTGAAAACTGGTTTATTATGATGATTTCATATCAACACATTAATATTATTAGAAATTATGGATTCTCACTTGAAATCAGGTTAGGGATGAGCTCCTTACTGCTATCCTACTTTTGTAAATTCTGTAATCCAACCTTCTCCTCTAAGTTCTAGATGAACAAACATCAATTCCAATATCTATATATTTTCTTTGTGTCTTTCAAGTTGATTTTCACATCTTCATTCATGTATTTTTTTTCTGTTGAAGGTATTTCACTGTTAGTTAAGGATAACTAAAAAGACATTAAAGATCTCTACACTGTGATTCTTTTTAACTAAGCACTTTTCTCATAAAGCCCCATCTCTAGGATGGTTCTAATACACCACTTTATCCTACTTCTGAGTTAAGATATGCTCAAAGCTCTGAGCACAGATTCAGGGTCCTAGTCCTCCAGAAGTTAGAAGAATCTTCCCTGCAAATCCTTATGGTCTTTCATAACCATTCATTTGCCTGATAAGCAGTTATTCAGTATGTACCATGTGCAGGATTCTGTGCCAGGTAGCATGAATGAAATGTGTTTCCTTTTTATAAACCTACAAATTAATAGGGGATACAGGATGTATACTGAAGTAGCCATAACACAAATCTAAATTTTTGAAATAGTGTGTTATTAAGGGAATACAAATATTATGTTGGCTGCCTTCATATTTGTAGTTGGGAGGTTGATACATTTTTGTACCCAGGTGAAGTGCCTAAACTGTACTCACGCCAAGTGTCCAGAGCTTGAGCTACCTGCAGGGAGAAGAGTGAGTACAGAGGCATCACCCAAGGACACAGCCTCCAGTCTACGCTCTGGGAACCATGAGGCACCACTGGGCACATGAATGATGCTTCCCAATGGGAAATGTTCCACAATTCATTATTTCCTCTGATTCCTGTAACAATGTTGTCAAGAAGGTTGAGCAGGTAATACCTGCATTCCTCATGTTTCAAAACTGAAGCTTAGAGGCTTAGCTGCTTCCTAGGTTAAGAAAGTCAGCAAGTGGTAATTGCTGAGACTTGAATACATTTCTTAGAGTGCTTTTTCATTTCACTTAGAAATTAATGTGGCCAGGTGTGATGACTCACACCTGTAATCCCAGCACTTTGGTAGCCCAAGGCAAGGGAACAGCTTGAGCCCAGGAGTTCAAGAACAGCCTGGGCAACATAATGAGACCTCGGCTCCACAATAAATCAAAAAATTAGCTGGGTGTGGTGCACGCCTGTAGTTCCAGTTACTCACAAGGCTGAGGCAGGAGGATCACTTGAACCCAGAAGGTCGAGGCTGTAGTGAACTATGATTGTGCTACTTCACTCCACCCTAGGCGACAGAGTGAAACACTGACTCAAAAAAACCAGACCTAACAAAAATGATGTGATTATACAAGTTCACTGAAAAAGTTCCCAAGTGCAGGTGGCAATGACAATATAATGACTAATAAGAAATTATTCCTGTCCTCAAGAACATCACAGACTAAAATTTTTCAGAAAATAGCATCTGTAAACCCATCTGGACTTTTGATTGGTTTGTTTTAGTTCTAACAAACATGTAATCCTCAAAAAGACTAATAGGAAAGGAAAACAAATAAAGAGGAGATGTTTTATAAAACACAGAGGACAATAAAGGGAAAACACATGAAAAAGGCAATTTGCTTAATCTGAGTTTTGGTTAATCTTCAGCTACAAAACTGGGATTAAAGTTACTTTATGGGCTTTGGTGCTATAACATACACAAAGTCCTGGGTACACCGTAAGGCACTATGCAATTGTAAATATCACACAGATCACAACAGTTTTAATTTCCAGAGAATAAGGACATATAATACTTTAGATTGGAGGGGAAATCCAAAGAATTGCAAAGGAAAAAAAGAACCGTAAAGGAAAAAAACTTGAAATACCTCTGAAGTGCTAAAAACACATCACCAAAGACTGTGTCTAACAGAAAAGGTTAACAGAAATTTCATATTTTTAGTTCTCTGGGAACAGCTTCTTTAAAGTCAGGTTTGAGATATAATTTACATACAACAAAATACACCCACTCTAAGTGTACAGTTAGATGTGTCCTGACAGATGCACACATCCTGTAGCCAAGGTTGCAATCTAGACTCGAAGACTTCCATCACCCCTAAAAGCTCCTCCTTCCTTCTGGCATTTACTTTCTACATTCCAACACCACTGATCTGCTGTCACTATAGATTAGTTTATAAAATCACATAGTACATATTAATTTTATATTTGGCTTCTCTTGCTCTGCAAAATGTATGAAATGCATTCACGTGGCGGTGTATAATCACACTTAATTTTTTTAGTGCTGAGAAATATTCTTTATTTTTACTTTGATAGGTGCATTCTACCATAACTGGCTAGTTTTTTGTTACTGTTCTTTTTATTTTTTGTAGAGACAGGGTCCTGCTATGTTGCCCAGGATGGCTTCAAGCAATTCTCCCGTCTCAGCTCTCAAAGTGCTAGGATTATGGGTGTTAATCACTGCACCCCACCAATTGCAGAGTAATATTCTATAGTGTGAATATGCCATAATTTGTATGCCCATCTACTGATGGACATTTGGGTAGTTTCCAGTTTGAGGCTATTATGTCTAAGTCTTTATGTGGACATAAAGAGTTGGCAGGGTTTAGGAGCACGGATCCCTCATGCACTTGAAATCCATCTATATGTCCACTTTTGACTCCCTAAAACGTAACTACTAATAGCCTACTGTTGACCAGAAGCTTTACTAATAGGATAAACACTTGATTAACGCATACTTTGTATGCTATATGTATTATACACTAAAAGTAAGCTAGAGAAAAAAATGTTATTACAAAACCATAAAGAAGAGAAAATATATTAACTGTTCATTGAGTGGAAGTGGATCATCCTGAAGGTCTTCATCCTCCTCATCTTCACAGAGAGTAGGCTAGAAGGAGGAGGAAGAAGAGGAGAGGTTGGTCTTGCTGTCTCAGTGGTGGCAGAGGAAGAAGAGGTGAAGGGAGGAAGGAGGGGCAGGCACTCAATGTCACTTTATGGAAATACATTGTAATTCCTGTCTGACATTTTTGTTTCTCTACAGATGTTTGTATATAACGCTGCTTCTTCCACTGTTTACTTTAGCTTCAGTGCTCCAATCATAGAAAAATCCACGTGGTAAAAAACGTCAAAAGCATTCTTGAATAATCAGGACCCTTCTGCCAGAATGCCTAATGTCCATTTATTTTCTGGCCCTGCCTCTTCTATGTCTTCTTCCTCACTGTCTGGCACTGGTTGGAAGCACTCATCTCCTTTAAGTCATCTTTTCTTAATTCCTCTCTGGTATGCTGCCTATTACCTCTTGAATTTCTCCAAGATCCGTATCTTCAAACCCTTCACCACCCCACCTTTTCTCCCATAGCTACCATTCTCTTTCATGATTTGATTGGCCATGTCATAAATCCTGTGAAGTCATGCACATCTGGACACGGTCTTGTCCAGCAGGAATTTGTTCCAGGCTTGATGGCTTTTGCACATTTTTCTATAATAATGATAGCATCTTCAATGGTAGTATCCCCCTGGACAATCAGAATGTTTTCTTTGTTGGAGTTCTCTTCCATAGCATTGATAATCCTTTCCATAAAGCACTGTGTGTAATGAGCCATAAGGTCCTTATGACCTCCTGATCTAGGGGATGATTCAGAGACAATGTGTTGGGGGCAAGTAGACCACTTTAATGCCTTCATTGTTGCACTGTCCAGTAACAAAATACCTTTAAAAGGCCGCTTTCTTACAAAGCATGGATGGTCCCACCCAGAAAATGGATTCTCGTTGTCCAGGCCTTCTTGTACAGCCAGTCAAAAGACTGGCAGCTGGCATTGATCTATTCATCTGGCTGGAGGTTAGCAACTGTATAGACAAGGACAGTCCTGATCGTAAATCCAGCTGCATTTGCACAAAACAGTAGAGTTAATCTATTCCTCCCTGCCTTAAATTCTAGTGCTTGCTTCTCTTCTTTACTAATAAACATTCTTTCTGGCCCTTTATTCTGAAATAGGGCATCTTCATCAGCATCAAAAACCTGTTCAGGCAGATATCCTTTCTCCTCAATGATTTTCTTAATGATGTCTAGGAACATGGTTGGCAGAGGCTGCTTCTCCTATAATCTTGGCTTTTTTTTTGAAGGCAAACCTCTGTAAAATTATCAAACCATCCTTTGCTAGTATTAAGACCTCCAGCTTTAGGTCCTTCACCTCCCTTTTGCTTTAAGTTGTCATATAATGACTTCACTCTTTATCATATTAGAGTCTATAGGTATGTCTTTCTTGTAGCAATACTGCACCGACATAAAAGCTGCATTTTCAATACAAGATACAAATGTTATTTTTCAAGAAGCACAAGATTTTCACACCTGCTGGTGTGGCTGCAGTGATGGCTTCATGACTTTCCTTTTATTTATTTATCTTGGTCCTTACGCTGGATTCATTTATCTTGAAATGGTGGCATCTGCAGCTGTAGACCTCAATCTACATACATATAAAGCAATTCAGCTTTTCCTTGTAATGTCACAACTTTTCTCTGCTTCTTGGGAGAATGTCAGCAACACTCGTGGCACTTTGTGGCATCCCATAGTGTTATTCAGGGTTTAGTACAGCACTCAACATGATGAGAAATACACGAGCCTATAAGAGATCATTTTTTTTACTGCAAAGTGCACTTTACTGGGAGGATGAGATGCTCACGCAAAGATGAGGAGCACCATGTGGTGTTTTAGGCTGTACTTACAACCACAACAGGAGATGGCTATGAAATCATCATGGTAGTACAGCAGCTATGACAGTTTTATGCACTTATGATTTAATACTGTGTCTTTATACTTGTTCATATTTTTACATGAATGGAGCCATGTATGGTCTGTTTATGTATGCTTTGATAAATTTTAACTTTTTATAGATTTGTATATACTTTATGGTAGTAAATGATAAAGCACTATCTACATATATTTTATACATTCATGACACATCTAACTTTGTCTTAATTTTTAAAAATATTTCTAGGCCTCGTAGTTCATCTGTGAGTTTTTTCAAATTGTTGCAAATCTCCAAAATATTTTTCCAATGTATTTATTGAAAAAAAGAACCTGTGTGAAACCATGCAGTTCAAATTCATGTTGTTCAAGAATCAACTGTCCTTTCATCGTCTAGAAGTGGAACTGCAGGGTTGTGCGGCAGGTGTAGACACATCCTTTCTTTCAGTATTTAAACCTGTTTGTTGTCCACTGTAATGGATTTTTCTGTGTATGTGATAGATGAACTTCAGCAAGGACCAGTGTTGACATGCATACCTATTTCTCCCAGGCCTGAGAGCGCCTCACAGGCAATCCAACATCATGTTCAAAATGATAATCAAAACATGACCTTTACAGGTTAATCTCTTCCCTCCCAGGTGTATCATATCAAGGAACTTCTCCAGGTCACATTTACACTTTCCACCTCCCCTCAGCCCTTCACGGCTTCTGCATTCCTATTTCACACATCCTCACCCTCCCTGTATAACCGAGGTTGGCAGTCGTGGCTCATGACAGGAATGTGCTGTGTCCAAGTATGTTGGGCCAGAATGTGAAGTGGAGAACCACTGACGCAGGCAATAATACCACAGCCAGAAGAACACATAAGGAAACTGACCTGGTGGTCCCAGGCAAGAGTTCTGCAAAAGAGAGACTGGAGGCAGGAACCTAAGGTCCCAGAGGCTTTGGGCTCTGCAAGAGATCACTTTTTACTGCAAAGTGCGCCTTACTGGGAAGATGAGAAGTTCATGCAAACATGAGAAGCATCATGTAGTGTTTTAGGCTGGTACAAATGAAGATAAAATGTCTGTTACAACATTTAGGATTAATCTAAGATGTTTGTCAGAAGCTGTTAGAAAATTATGCTATATAAAAGAAACTATTTCTTACATAGCAGATAGACAACTGGTATTATTTGAGAAATTTTTAAGTTTAAAAACATTTTAATCTGAAGTTATCTTTTTTCTTTTAAATGCATTAAATTTTCTTTCTAAACTCTAGCTATTCTGGAGATGGAAAATCCTATTTGATCTCAAATGAGTATTTTCCCATCATTCTCAAAATAGTATTCCATTTTCACAGAGACTTTCAAATAACATATCCCTTATTAGTAATACTCCCAAAGAATATGAGATTTTAACTTAACTCCAACACTTTTAGGTCACAGTAAAATCACTTGAAGAGTAATTACCCTTTTATTTGGGGGGGGAATATTCAATTCTATTTGAGTATTGCGGGGACCTCATTTTAATGTTATTAACCTACAAGGATTATTTAACTGAGGCTACATCTGTCCTACCTACCTGCTATTCTACAAAGCATATGAAATGAAATATACAGCTCAGTAACAGCACGCCAATCCCAGAATGTGACTATACTGCATTTAGAGTTAGCTAAGTTCACACAGGGAAGAGGCATGAATTACAATCACATAAGTCAAATCAACTACTAAGGAACCAAAGATCTTTATTTCCAGCCTGTCACTGCTTAATTTTTCTTCAAATTCATGCCTAGATCAGTCACTCTCTAATATCAATATTCAAAATTACTACAGAAATATAGGTTTAGGTTTTTAGGATTTAATATCTTGTCATTAAATCATACATTTCTTTGGTTCAGATCACGATATTTCTCAAAAGGTTCTTAAGAAATATAACTTTGAGGTCATGAGAAAGAGTACCAGTAAACACCAGAAGTGAATGAGAAGTCTTGTCTTCTTACCTGATGAAGTTTAATGGACATTCGAATTCCAGGGACGACTACTTTTCGTAGCAATTCCATGTCAGCAAAGATCCACTCATCTCGAATTGAAGAGATGCGGAAATCTCCTTTAAACAGGGCATGCAATCCATAGAGGAATGACTCTAAATTACTGTCAAGATTGGAGATAAAAGTTTACATGTTTTGACAAAAGTCTTCCATGACTCTGACTCTTATATCTGGGTGTGCATCAGAATCACCTGGGAGTGCTCTGAAAATACAGACCCCAGGAATTAATTTCAGATTCCCTGAACCAGAATCACAAGAGAGAGGGCACATAAGACCTGGGCCCTTGATGAGCCAATGTAACAGTAAGTCCATAAAATAAACAACAGGCAAAGCACTTGTACTGGGAAACACAGTTATCAGGAGAAATGGAAAATATGCAATATCCCTTAATTCTGACACATTTGGATATATATGTCAGGGAATTCAGTTTAGAGTCCCCAAATCTAATACACGTGACTCTATTAAAAGTGTAAGTAACCTGGACAAAGACTACAAAGAATTATGGAGAAATATAAATAAATAAATTTATTAGAGAAGTATAGACCAATCAAACTTCATGGGGCGGTTATATTTTAAAATGTGACGATACACACATGCATAAATTTTAAAAGCTAGCTCTGTTCCAACCACTCAACTATGTTCAGCAAAAAGATCTATAGAAATATAAAACCTAAGAGACTTGTACAACAAATTAGCATAGAATGAATGCCTCCATGAAAAATGATTTCAGATTACGTTATATAGCCTCCACATTCTTCCTGAGAACAAAGACACCTCCTCACCTAGACATGTGGTGGGATGCGGTCCCCAAAGCTCTTCGCCCCAGAACACAGAGTCCATAACAAAGAGTCACCAGGGACGAGTCTTTGTCCACATCCAATGGCTTTAGGAAAAAAGAACATTAGTTATCAGAAAGATCTGTAAGTATTTAACAAATCAGAAGATATCTAATTAATACATCAGAGACGTGATAAGGAACTCAACTAGTATATAATTTCTCTCTCTTAAAAGTTCTAATAAAAATAAACTTAGTAATAAAGCAGTATGAAGTAAAACATGAATGTGTATAGGGAGGGTCTTTGGAGTCTTTAAATAAGATCTAGAACTTTATAATATTGGAAGATAATAAGAAAAAATGGCTCTGTTATAAAATATTAGGATCTTAGCTAAAGATTTCAAAGCACTTACTGGTATTATTAAGATTCCCCTCTCCTGAAAATATAATATTCTATCTACTAACTAGTTATTTCTGACCATAACTTGACAAGCAGGCTATGAATGGCAGCTGTGTTAGCCAATTAGTGACTATAAATGTAGTAAAGAAAAGCACACAGATATCCACAGAATAACATCTCTCACAGCCTTTTATTTTTTAGCAACTGTACACCTTGACTACTGAGTTAGTAACTCTCTTCTTTCACCCTAAGAAAGTTCAATAATAATCACTGACATACATATATATATGTATGTATGCATACATACAAAATCATACAAAATAGTTTTACCTTATATAGCACTACAGAAAATCTCAGTAGTATCTCTGTTGCCAAGAAACAATCTAGGGAGTAGTTCTCAAAGCATAGACTAGGACCAGCAGCATGAACATCACCTGAAAACTTGCTAGAAATGCAGGTGCTGGGCCACTTCAGATCCATATGATCAGATTCTAAAGGTAGGGTTCAGCCATCCATCATTTGCCAGGTGATTCTAATGCATGCTACAGCTGAAGAACCAATGATACAGGCTAATAATGAGCTTAATCATTCTAAGTTTGCCAATGGTCTATATTTTTGGCTTTATAAACCATTAACTAATAAACACAAAAGGGGAGCTAAGATATTATCTTAATATTGATTGGCTAATTTAATTAATTGCCATTAATTAGATGATTTAGTTAATTAATGGCATCTGCGTTAGAGACGCCCTGGCTGCTTGCCTGTTAAGACTGTTTTTAAAGATTATCTTGTATAGCACATATTCTAGTTTCAACAAGCAGGCCCTTTGAAGAGAATTTTGAGTCCAGGTTACAAAACAGTAAATAAAGAGTATGAGAGCACTAGTTTTAAGAAATAGAAAAGAAAAATAAAAGAGAGAGTGAGTGCAGACTTGAAGTTATACAAGCAAAAAAATACTAAAGGTGGTTATAATGGGTGATTAAAATTAGGGGCAATTTTCATTCTTTTTTCCCCTTCCTTCCTTCCCTACCCTGCCAGTTTTCTATGCTGAAAAAATGTATTGTTTCTGTGATGAGAAAGAAATATTAAAAATAAAAATCTAGTTCAGGGTTTTGCTTGTAGCCAAGATGAAGTAATAGAAACCGTATTTATTCTCCTACCTAAAACAGCTAAGAACTGGGCAGAGTATAGGAAAAAACAGTTTTCAGACACTGGACACTAGTCCCTGAAAGACAGGAAACTAATGAGGAGGTCCTAGAATCCACAGAGCTCATTACCTAGAGAATTTCCAGCCACAGCACAAGAAAAGGGAACACAGGCTGAGTTTAGAGGCTTTGAGTCAGCTAGAGTTCACAAGGCACAGTCCAGAGAGGAGAGAGCTAAAGAGAGCTACGGAGAATGTGGGATTGGGGGGAGGGAAGGCTCCAGAGCAAGTGGACCCAAGACCGAGAAAAGAATCATCCAAAAGGGACAATGGAGGACCTCGCATGGGGCTGGAGCACTAGTAGAGCATTGTCTCAGTCATGAGGAAAAATCAGTCCCAGACTCAAGGTTGCTCTGCTTCCTCCTAAGCAAGCCCTGAAAGGATCAAACTGTCCCTAAGGAATTTAACTGTTATAGAACAAAGTTCCAGAACACTTATAGGAATACAGAAACATCCAATACCTTCAAGGTAGAAGTCATGAAGTCTGGCATCTAATAAAAAATCAACAGGCATGGTTAGTAGCAGGAAAGTATAACCCATCAGGAGAGGACTAATCACACACTCACATACAACTGGCCACCATAGATACAGAAGCCAGACCTGATCAACAAGAACATTAAAAGGGTTACTAGGACTATATGCCATACATTAAAGAAGGGAGAGGAGTGGCTAAGCACGTTACATGACACATGGAAGCTTTATAGAAAGGTCACAAATCAAACTTCTAGAGACACAAAGTAATACAAATGTCTGAGATTAAAAATATACTCTATGGGATTAATGCATATTAAACAATGTAGAAAAAAGATACATGATCTCAAAAAACACAGCGATAGAAACTAGAAACTCTATGCAAAATGGAATACCCACAGAAAAAGCACTGAAGAAAAAAAAAGGACACAGGGCATCAGGGAGCCACAGGACAATCAAGCAGCCTAACCAAGTGTCTCTGAAATTCCCACAAAATGGGGAGAAGGAAAAACAGAAAAAAAAATATTTTGGAAATGCTGGAGATAGATCTTGGAAGAATCTGGGATGGCTGCTCCAGGCTTTCTTGATAAGGAAAATGGAGAACCAGGCACCACATGGCTGTGAAAAATGGGCCAAAGCTGGGGTCTGGGCCTTATGGTCAAGGAGATTGCTAAAGAAAAACCTCTGTTCCTGCCTCAGATAACACCTACCCAGAAACAGAAAAATTCCTCTCAATTTGCTGGGTTTTGAGATCTGGCCTGGTGAAGAGCACCAGACTGTACGTCTCCCCCTGAACGGAGAGAGCCTGAAAGGATGGGTCCCTCACCAGGAAGATGCCCTCCCGCATGGGAATCCAATCTGCAAAGTCTCCTGCAGGCATTCCATAAACCCCGGATGTTGAACTGCCACTGTTTGTTAAGACACAGATATTTACATTTCTTAGTCCTTTGTAGTTTGTGTGTGTGTATATTAATAAAACATTTAACAGTTTTAAATGGTGGGAAAATGTCCAAATCTGCTGAAAACTATCTCATATACCTACAGATTCAAGAACCTCAATGAACTTCAACAAGAAACATGAGAAAACTACACCAAGGCACACGATATTCAAACTGCTGAAAAACAATGGCAGAGAGAAAATCACTGTGAAGCCAGTGAAAAAAGGCACATTCCATTACATATATTTTTTCAGGAGAACAAAGGTAAGAATGACAACAGACTTCTCATCAATAACAACACAAGCCAGAAGACACTACAGCAACCTGGTAGGGCTATTTTGTTACTGCTGGAGAAGCATGTGCCCAATTCCCTAAACTGCAGGAGAAATTCTCACCAATAATTCCTACTAATACTAACAACAAAGGTGAAAGAAACATTGCAGCATTTGAGAAGCAGGAAACAAAGTCAAGCTGAGATGTATCCTTTCACTTTAAAAATGAAGGTAATTTTAACACAGTTGCTCCAAGACCAAAAATTCCAGTGGGAGGTGGCTTCTAAATTTCAGAGGAGGGCACTGGAGCGTGGAGTCAGCAAATCTTATGGCTTAATTAGCATCTCAAGGAAAAGGTACACAGGAAATGGTGATTCAGAAAACACAATGCATGATTTTAAGGAGGTGATGATAATCTTGTTCAATTAAAAGAAAAACTAGAGCACAAGGGAGATATAGCTGGAAAAATACAAGACATTATTTTTTTCTAAGGGATTATAAGAGTAGAACATTAAGCCAGACAAACATTAGGGACGGTGAACTACCAGAAGAGACTGGGATAGCCTCGTTTGGAGGTACATCTTTGGAACACCTGATTTATCAGGGGATTTCCTCAAGCTACACCCATGGTTTCAACAATCATCTCCAAGAGAAGGATCCTTACGTCTAGGTAGGAGAAGCTCTGTTCCCAAGTGGGTAGACCATGAGCTCCTAGTCCAGGTTATCACCATTAAACCACAACAAAAGTAATCAACTTCAGTGAAGCCAAGGAAGGGCCATTAGAATAATATGACCCTTCTTCTCCTACCCCCTCCCTGCCAAAACAAGTCCATGGATTTGAGAACAGTATGCAAAGTATTTTAAGTATATATCTTTTATGGAAAAATAATACTGCTTGTTATATTTTTGGGAGAAGTGTAGCATTTTGTGTGTGTGTGAGCTGGAGTCTCGCTTTGTTGCTCAGGTTGAAGTGCAGTGGCACACTCATGGTCACCACAGCCTCGATCCTTCTGCCTCAGTCTTCCAAGTAGCTGGAAGCACAGGCACGCACCATCACACCCAACTAATTGTTTTGATTTACCGTAGGGACAAGCTCTTGCCAAGTTGCCCAGGCTGGTCTCAAACCCGTGAGCTCAAGCAATTCTCTTGCTTCTGCCTCCCAAAATGCTGGGATTACAGGCATGAGCCACAGCGCCCAGCTGGGAGAAATTTAGCTTTGAGGCCCTCCATTTCCAGCTGTTGTCTGCTGGTCTTGATTCTGAGTCTCTTATGAGGTTCCTTGAGGATATCTATTAAAAATATGCTACTCTGCTCAGTATCAGTTGAACATCTCATATAAAAGTTCAAAGGCCACCACGCAGACAGGATGCTCCCATTTTTACTGGTAAAGTAAAGAGAAAAGAGGCTAACATGATGGGGTATTTTGCTAAGTAGCTGCAAAGCAAGGACTAAGCCAGGTGCTAAATCTGAAGGTAGTTGGTATGTCCACTCTAGACCATGACAAAAGTACCAGTTGTCAGCAAACCTTTGCACATGATGCTGGTGGTTCAAATACACAAGGCTTTTGCTTAGAAAGCATTTGTGGTGATAGGAATTAGCTTTGTATTCACAGGTTTTAATACAGCAGTTGAGAAACACAGGGTCTGACTAGGGACATAATACTTTCACAAGTCATGAGTTCTAGAAGGAAGCAGTAGTGGCTGAAGTCTGTAACTCAGCTAACTTTAGGTTAAGAAACATTATACCAATGTATGGATTGAGAACCACCTGAATTAAAATCACCCGGGGTGATACAGATTTTTATGTTCCCAGTCTTAGACATACTGAATTAGAATTTCACAGGAATCTGCATTTTATTTTTATAAGTACCTGTCATTTTTATCCACATTAACATCTGAAAATCAATGGTCCAGATGTATGCTGTCCAATATTGGCTACAGTGATAGCCAGTACTACCTATATGGACTATTAAATTTAAATCAATTAAAATTAAAAATTTTACAATTCTGTTCTTAAGTTGTATTGGCCATATTTCAAGCATATAATAGGCATGTGTGACACCAGATAGCACAGGGCATTTCCAGTATCACAGAAAGTTCTATCAGCTAGCACCTGTCTAGACTTTGTATTTGGGACAAAGATATTTAATTATCCTTAAGTCTGGTGGACAGAGGTAGAACTTCTTAAGGATGAGATTGTGGAAAGTAACGTATGTCACCGGGACATGTGACAATGCATGTGCATGCAGAGGGCGGACAGTGCATCGCCTGGACTGCAGGATGAAGACACTGCAAATGAAAGAAAGAGAGAGAAGGCCTTTGTAACCTGCTTTGACAGAGTTGGTCTGGCCCAACCACACTGAGCCAGATGGTTTCTCACCTACATCAAGGAGGAAAGTCTGGGAAAACCGACTTCAGAATAACTAACAGGGATATTTTCCTATCTTTGGAAAAATCTAGATTCAAAGAATTGTAAACGAAAGAAACGAACTCTACCTTTGCCCTTCGGGAAGAGCAATATTCTATCCAGTTGAGGTAAATCACACAGAAACTCTCCCTGGATACGCCTGCAAGCCGGTGGTCATAGTCTTCATCAATGTTGGGATTAAACGTGGGGTCCACATCAACGTAATTCCGATCTGCACACAGACGCAGTCCTTCCTGCATCGTCTCATTGGCTAGCCATTCCTCCAGCTTAGAGGAGGTTGTAACATAATAGATGATACCCTAATATGAACCAAAGGGAAAAAAAGAATTCGGGTTAGATCACATTTTGAATTAACTCCAATTCCTCAGTGAAATAAATCCCAACTATTTCTAATGATAGCATGACTCAAAAATACTTCATTCTCTAGCTTAACATTCTACATTTATTTCAAGAATGCTATAAAAACATACCTTGGGTCTTCCTGGGTCAAACACATTTAATAATTTAAAATCACAACCATAAATTCAGTAAGGCAACTTCAAAATAATTCTATTGATTTTAGAACTTTTGAACTTAGGATATTTTAAAAGAGGTGAAAAAATGTTACTGTTGTCTATTTATTTTGAATAATTTCTCATAGAACATTATTAAAACCATCTGGTGATCCTAGGTCAAGTTATAGAAATATAGCTAACGATAAAGCAACAGAAATATATATACTTAGAAACAGCAACAGAAAATACCCCCACACACATATACACAAATAAAAAAAAGTTATAAAGTCAATCTCTAGCTTCCTGAGGGTAGGTCAACCAAACATTAAATGGAAGCTCCAGCCCCTTAAGTACAAACAAGGTGGCAGGCAGAAGTACCAACACAAGATATGGGAACTTCAGATGTAGGTTGTTAAAGTTCAGCACACATTTCCCTCTTGAAAATGCTACTTTCACCTGGAAGTTCCCAAATCACACCTATGCTGTCTTTCTGTAAACTCTGTAGCAAAAATAGAACATCTTGCAGTAAAGGGTTAGCCTTGCCCAATGAGAGGCTTGGCCTTTGCCCACAGGTCCCAGGTGTCACCTGGAAAGCCTGGAAAGCCCAGCCTCTATTAAGAGAGTCTCTATTGGAAAGGCCTAGAGCCACACAGTAGCAACATGACCTTTGGAAGCCCTGGAGACTTCCGTTGGCCATGTGGGTGGTCAGCCACGTCCACACAACTGCACCCAATAAAGGCTCAGGTGAGAACCTCAGCCAGCAACACCATGTGAAGAATGCCATGACTCTGCAAGGAAAAATGGGCATCCACACAACTCTGCTGGGAGAGGACAGCCAGAAGCCCCTCGGTGTGGTGTCTCTGGACAAACCCCTCAACGTGTTATCTCTGGACAATGCCCTCACCCCTCTTCCTCTGCTGATGTTAATCTGTACCCATGTAATACTATCTGTAATACCATGAGGATAATGTGAGTACAACGACTCTGCCCCGACCTATGGGTCTTTCTAAAAATTGCAGCTAGTGTCAGAAGTGAGGGTAGTCTTGGGGAGCTTCTTGGACATTGCAGTGGTTTTACTCAGTTTGCTGAAAGCAGTCAGTAGCTAACAGCAAGGGCTCAGGAGACAGGCAGGTTTTAAATGCCTAACTCCACATGCTGGTTAGGGGATCTTAGGTAGAGCAACTTCTGATCCTTAAGCTGTTAATTTGTGAAACAGGGAAGTGACACACTTTTACTCTTGTGTGGACATACATGTATGTATACTCATTTCTCAGTGTAGTACCTACCACACTAGCTACAAGTGTTAGCTATTACTAAGGAACAGATGGAACGAACTCCACTAAAGCAGGAAAAAGAGCACCTTTGGTGGTGTATTCTTACTGACTTCTCTGGATCCTAGAGAATTTAAATCACTACTTAGAAGCAAGGCATAAGTAAATCTATACATGTCTTTTCCAAGAAGAGCCTCTGGTCATCTGAGGATTGAAGCAGGCACACAGCATACCTTGACATAGTAAGTGGTGAGCACTTTTCGTAGGTCAAAGACTTGCAGCATAGATGCCGCACTGTTGTCTGTGATGCTGTAACCCTCCAGAATATACTTGGTGACGATCACCTCCCAAGCCAGCCAGCGTTGGCTGAAGGCCGCATTGAAGGAAAGCACATGAGGAATGTGGCCAGGTTCGCAGCAGCAGAAACCCTCGTCCTCCTCTACCCCCTCCGTAATGGCTTCTACTTCCCGCTGTTGACAGTAGGTACCTTAAAAAGAGAGAGAGAGTGACCATCACAAACACAGAGAAAAATAGAGAGTGGGAAAAACAAATGCCTCAAGGACCCAAGATTTAGAAAAGAGACACATTTCATAACAATTGAAAGTATCCTTAGGATATTCATTGACAAACTGTAGGAAGCTCTTGCTGTTGGGCCACCTCTGCCTCATCACTAGCACACTGAGGCCCTGGGAGTCTGTGCAATAAAGTAACTGCTTTAATTCTGACTTATCTATTCTAAATGTTTCAAATGGGATTACAATTGCATTCATATCAAATAAAGGATCAAAGAGTAAAGGTACACCTCCTGAAAGTTTGAGTTAGTTAAAAGAAAATACCAAAGACAGAGGAATGAACATGGAATCATACCAGGCGCACAGGATGCAAGAGAATCTGAGTCCCACCTGCCAGTAATACGTCCAAACTGAAACAGTACATACACTTTCTATCTGGTTATACAACTTCCTACAGTTCATTCTAGTTTAACAGCAAATACATAATTTTTTTTCTGTTGTGTAATTAATTGCATAAGACTACATTATTGACATTTGAGACTTACCTGCTGATAAAGTTTCAATTACATATAAGGTCTGATTACTCTGCACTAGCAAACAAATATCTGAAGTTACATTCTTTTATACAACATACATATCAAAAAGACATTTACTGTATTACTGCTATTGAAGTAAAAAGACAAAAACAGATTAAATACAGAATTAGACCCACAGCAATCTAGTTGCCAGCATATTACATTAATGTCGTTTTGGATAGGGTTTATAGGGCGATGGGAGAGGAGGTTGTAGTTAAAACAACTCATCATACAAACCTCTCAAACGGAGCACAGAGTTGCAATGGCCAAAAAGCTAACACAGTGCTCTAACACTGTCCTGTTACTAATTACCTTACTGCCAATATCTGCTTTCCCTAGACCCGCATCCCAAAGCTATGTGACTGATAAGACTGGTACTGTATGTCAGTGTTTGCTTTCCTAATGTTGCATTTCAGAGACAAATGGACTGGTTTAGTGTGGACATCTACACTCCAAGACTGTGAGAACGACCTTCAGCAGCACTGACACCTGCATTTCAAGGCCAGGAGACTGCTGATAAACCAAGACTGGGGTTTTATAAGTGACCTGCAAGAGAACAAAGGCTGTTGGTTTCTCTCTATAGAGACAGCCACTCCCTCCCCTTCTTTTCTTTTCTTTAATAAACTTTCAACCACCAGCGGCTTGTCTCTTCCTTCTCGACATACATTATAGTTTTAGTTTTGTGGACTTGCTTCAATTTAAATTCCCTATATTATGTAAAGACTACAAAATGATCAATTAAGTGATATGTAATTATTCACATATTTAAGTTACATTGTGAAAAAACAACTTTAGGTTGCAGAATAGGTTTTTCCCCTTAAAAGACACATACACCATCCACACATGAAAAATACTGCTTTGAGCAACACTGACACTATGAAACTGAGCCCCGAGTGATGGTGGGACAATGAAAGATAAGGCATAAGAGGGTGTTTCAGCCAAGCTAAGGAGCTGCCCTGTTTAGCACTCGAGAACCCTCCATTTCTTGTTTAATTACTTTCACCAACACTTCCATAACAATGTTACACAGTTGACAAGAAAAAACCCTTGTCGGAGCAGACATTGACAGGAATACTCGCTGTGGCTGGCACTACACATGACATTCCCTAGAGGTGGACAGGCACACTCTGCTTTACTACCCCTCACATGCACTGTGACCCCACACAACATGGCAGGTTGTGAAGGTTTGCAACACCCCTGTGTCAAGTAAGCCCACTGGCACCACTGTTCCAACAGCACGTGCTCACCTCCTGTCTTCGGGACACATTTGGTAATTCACAGTATTTTTTTCAAACTTGTTCAATATTCTGATATCTGTAATGGCAATCCTGTGATAAGTGATCTTTGAAATTATTATTGTAATTGTTTTGGGGCGCCACAAGCCCTGCCCATATAAGGCTGCGAACTTAAATAGACAAACATAGCTTGTGTTCTGCCTGCTTCACTGACTGTCCGTTCTCCATTTCTCTCCCTCTCCTCAGGCCTCTCTGTTCCCTGAGACACAACAATTTTGAAATTAGGCCAATTAGTAACACTACAATGTCCTCTATGTGTCAAATGAAAGGAAGAGTTGCACATCTCTCCCTTTAAGTCAAAAGCTAGAAACAATCAAGTTTAGTGAGGAAGGAATGCCGAAATCTGGGACATGCTGAAAGCTAGGCCTCCTGCACCAAACAATTAGACAAGATGCGAATGCAAAGGAGAAGTTATTTATTTTATTTTATTTTATTTTATTTTTTTGAGTTGGAGTCTCACTCCGTCGCCCAGACTGGAGTGCAGTGGCCGCTCCCGGCCACAGCAGCCTCGATGTGCTGGGCTCTGGCGATCCTTCCACCTCAGCCTTCCAAGTAGCTGGAACTACAGGCACGCGCTACCACACCTGGCTGATTTTCTGATTTATTGTAGATATGAGGTCTCGCCAAGTTGCCCAGGCGGGTCTCGAACCCACGGGCTCAGGCAATCTATTCACCTCAGCCTCCCAAAGCACTGGGATTACAGACTGAGCCACCGAGCCTGGCTAGGAGAAGTTATTAAAGGAAATTAAAAGTGCTACTCCAGTGAAGTTATTAAAGGAAATTAAAAGTGCTACTCCAGTGAACATACAAATGATAAAGAACAACAGCCTTATTGCTTACAGGGAGAAAGTTTGAGTGGTCTAGACAGAAGATGAAACCAGCTACAACATTCCCTTAAGCCAAAGCCCTAACTCAGAGCGAAGCACTAGCTCTTCAATTCTACGAAGGATGACAGAGGTAAGAAAGTTGTAGAAGGGCCAGGCTCGGTGGCTCAGCCTGTAATCCCACGCTTTGGGAGGCTGAAGTGAGTGGACTGCCTGAGCCCGCAGGTTTGAGACCCACCTGGGCAACTTGGCGAGACCTCATCTCTACAGTAAATCAAAAAGTTAGCCAGGCATGGTAGCGCGTGCCTGTAGTTCCAGCTACTTGGAAGACTGAGGCGGAAGGACCGCCGGAGCCCAGGTTGAGGCTGCAGTGGCCAGGAGCGTGCCACTGCACTCCAGTCTGGGCGACAGAGTAAGACTCCAACTCTAAAAAAAAAAAAAAGAAAGTTGCAGAAGGAAAGCTGGAAGCTAAGAGAGGTTGGTTTATGAGGTTTAAGGAAAATAAGTTGTTTCTGTGACATAAAAGTACACGGTGATGCAGAAAGTGCTGATGGAGAAGCTGCGGCAAGTTCTCCAGAAGATCTAGCTGAGCCCACTGATGAAGGTGACTATACCAAGTGACAAATTTTCAACATAGGTGACCGCAACCTTATAGTAGATGAAAATGCCATCTGGGACATTCATAGCTAGAGAAAAAAAGTCAATGCTTGGCTTCAAGCTTCAAAAGAGCAAGTTGACTCTCTTGCTAGGGGCTAATGCACTTGGTGACCTTAAGTTGAAGTCGCTGCTTATTAACCATTCCAGAAATCCTAGAGCTTTTAAGAATTATGCTAAATCTACCCAGTCTATACTCCAGAAATGGAACAACAAAGCCTAGATGACAGCATGTTTGTTGACAACATGGTTTACAGACTATTTTAAGCACACTACTGAGACTTATTTCTCGGAAAACAAGATTCCTTTCAAAATACAGAAGGTGCCAAAAAAAAAAAAGGAAAAAAAAATGCATTTTAAAAAAGGAAAAAACTGTATTAAAATTGTAATATCAATATATACTGATAACAAAAGATAAATATGTCACATTTGACTTCTGCAATTATAAGAGGTGCTCAAAGTGGTTACCATCAGCGACCAGTCACTTCTGATTATGGCAAACATCTCTTGACATCTCTCAAAATGCTCAAAATGTGTATATACTTTTTTGGCACCCCTGGTATTACTGCTCATTGACAAGCACCTGGTCATCTGTGATGAACTATACTAGCCGTTTCCTGGATTAGCTAGGTAGTTTAGTCACCTCATAGTGAATATTGCTAGTAAAAAATAAAATAAACACTCACTAAAACTAGATGTGTTTAAAGTAATCTGAGTAAAAATTGAAAGGAATCTACTTAGCAAAACCTATTTTTGATGAGTAAAGTTTCACTTGAAAAACTGTATTTAACAGAAGTAACACAATTAAAAAGCTAACACAGTAGAAACTGGAATCAGAAGATTCTGATATAGTCCAAAAAAGGCTAACAACTCAAAATTTTCACATAAAATATACATGAAAAGAATCTTGAGATTATAAGACCTACAGGAAACTGATTAAGAAATTTTTTAAAATTTTGCTTAAAATAAAACAACTACCATGATAGACAAAGTTTAAAAAAATGGCTTAGTGGAGTATGTCCCAGAGAACAGATAAAAAATGCTCAGTGGGCCCAAATATGTGCTTGGTAAAAATAAAGACACCTGTGACTAATACTTTAGGGACAAGGAGGAGGTAGGACAGGGAATCACACTCTAAAGGAGAGAAAATTACCGAGGATCTCACCAGCATTCGCAAAAGAACAGAATCACACCTCATGAGGGCTCAGGAATGAAAAGAAAGGAGAAAAAGGCCACACACCTATGCTATTTAGTGAAACACACACTATACACTGACTGCGTGTGTGCTGGATACTGGACACATTGTGATGGGTGGACATGCAGAGTTTTGCCTTTAGGAATGTGCCTGTATTCTAGAGCAAAGGTTGACAAACGTTGGCCCCAAGACAAGTCCAAGCTAAGAAGGACTTTTATGTTTTTAAAAGGAAAACCAACAACAAAAGAGAACATACAACAGAGAATGTGCATGGTTCCCAAATCCTAAAATATTCACTAGCTGGCTCCTAACAAAAAGTTTGTCAACCCTGGGCTGGGGGAAACCCAAATTTTAAATAATAAACACAGTCATGTGTTGCATAATGATGGGAATATGTCTGAGTCATAAGTTATGTGATTTTGTCACTGTATG